GGCATTGTCTGAGCTGTTTTCATTTTTATACCAAGCTGGATATGAAAAAATTTTGATTGCCTTTTATGACATTCTTCTACAGATTAAGCAGCACAGACTTATGCCCATGTTTTTGTAGTAGTTACCTTATTGTCCATTCTTTATTCATGAACCAAACTGGCATGATTATATCTCATCACACTGGGTGGAGGGGTAGAGATGGCACCCTCACAACCACAACCTGCAGTTTGACAATATCTTGACATAATTACATGTAAACATACACACATTTTATTATAGCAGCCCACTGATCTGCCTCACCACACACAATGGCCTTGATGGGTAGGCAGAACACATATCAAACTTGTCATGTGTAGTGGAGTGAGGCCTCATCTCCCCACCACTCTTCATCATCTCTGAACCACCACATGTCAGTCACAGAGAGGAGCTCCATTAGAGACATTAAATGATCAGCAAAGGAATGGAAGAGTCTCATTATCCTTGTAAAATATAACTTTTTTTTTTTTTTGTTTAATATATTTTTTTTAGTATTAATATCTTAAAGATTTGTGTGTGTGTGTGGTGTGTTGTGTGTGTGTGTGTGTGTGTGTGTGTGTGTGTGTGTTGTGTGTGTGTGTGTGTGTGTGTGGTGTGTGTTGTGTGTGAGAGAGAGAGAGAGAGAGAGAGAGAGAGAGAGAGAGAGAGAGAGAGAGAGAGAGAGAGAGAGAGAGAGAGAGAGAGAGAGCCAAAAATAGAAAAATACTGTAATGTTTTGAACTATTCATGAGATATCCTCTTCAGATAAATAATTAACCAAAATGGATTTTTGTTTCTTATTGTGGCTGTTTTCCTTTTCATATATATATATATATATATAATATATATATATATATATATATATATATATATATAATATTATGAGTGTGTGTGTGTGTGTGTGTGTGAGATCTGCATATATTTTTTTTCTTTAATTTCTATTAGCATATATCTATTGAAATCATTAACCTAATCTCTTGTGGCATCCAACACAGACCTTTCTTTTGGGACTTCCGTCTGTTGGAAAAAGGAAATGTAGATGCCCCATTAATTCTGTGCTCGCAGTGCCAGCAACAGGTATATTATGGAACACTGCCACTGTAGGTGTCAGGCATCAGCAGCACTGAAACTGCATACGAGAACCAGTTGTCTGTCCCTAGTGCGTAATAAGGATGGTCTCGCACAACTGGGTCGGTCTCTCCCATGATACACAAACAAATAAATGAAGCAGCAGCTGCCAAAGCCTCCTTGCACACCTATCTGACCTTTATGCCAACACAACATAACACAGATTTCCTTAGAAAATTCATCATGTTAGCAACATGTTCTAACATGCTTACAACGCATAAACTGTTACCAATAAGTATTTGGAGCTTGGCAGTCGTTTCGCCCAATTACCAGTTCGCCCCAGGGTTAGATCTTTCGGTCCAAGCAGCGGTCGATTCGCCCCAATGCCTTCCTCTTTCTGACAACATAAACGAAACGAACCTAAACATAAGCATAACATAACCTATACATAACCTAAACCCAACTCAACATAACCAAGTGGCGCGTCACCTCGAATGAGGTTATGCTATGTTTACACAGTTCCCGGCGGTCACGGCAACCACGTTTCAGGCCACCGTAGACAAAACGGGATATACAAACAACGTGGTTACAACGCGGGAGATCGGGACTGGTAAACGTGACAGGCCGTGGATATCGGTTATTTTTTTTCCAAAAATTTGCCACGGCAGGCACGGTGCAGATAAGTAGACCTTGGTAAAGTGGGATGAATGTATGTAATGGCCCTTATCAAAATTCGGAGGCGGTTTGTAGTGTGACGGAAGCATGTGTATTCCGGTCTGATCTGGTCCACAAAGTCTTGGACAGGTAAAAAGCCAGGCCCGGCATGAGAGGGCTCTAGGCTATTACAGTGGTAACGTGTCTGCCTTTCATCCGAGGGGTCGGCGGTTCGCGTCCCGCCCAGGCGCGAGAAGTTGCAATTGTCGCCCGGAGGTTACTGCTGTGGCTGGGCACCACGGTGGGTAAGGACTAAGCTCTGTCGCGTCAGCACTGTCTGACACATGTTGATCGAGTCGGCATTAGTCGGCACAGGCCGGGCGAGGCTC